ACAGCTGCGGGCCTCACTCAAGGACCCAGCATAAAAATGCTGGGTCAGCACCACTTGGCTTCCAACAGAGAAGCCAACCTGCTGGAACTCAGGTCTGGCTGTGACCCTCACCATCCTGCCCCACATCCCTGGTGGCTCTGTGTGCCCCAGGTCAGAGCCCCAAGAAGCAGGGTGGTGAGTCACCTACCTCTTGGTGCCTCTGTGTAGACCGTAAAGGCCTATGGCCTGGGCCCCACCTGGACCAGCAAGGCCATGCTCTAGGAATAGAGCCTGGGTGCCTGCACTCTTAAGGTTCCATTTAAGATTCTACGGGGCGGTCGGGCCTAAGAGCCAGGGGCGTGAGATAAGAGATCTGGGTCAGCCTCTTTTCTGAATCATGGCCTCTTATTTGTAAAATGAGGAATTAATAGTGACAGCTGTCTCAAAAGTTGGTTGTTTTCAGACCTCAAATAAACCTGAAAACACTCTGCCAGCTGTGGAATGTACAAAGGAAAGATCTGTGACAGAGTCCACCACACGGCATCCATGGGTCCAGGATCTCAAACCAGCTCACGGTCGGCATGTGTGGGCAATGCTCGGGCCTTCACACCCTGTGTGCTGTTTTGAGCACAAAGCCCCCTGCTCGCAGGTCTGCCGGTGGTCAGAGCCTGGCCCACCTGCTGAAGGGCATCATGTAGGTATCCCTACTTCTGACCCCCAAGCGCTCTGCCAGGTGCTTTCCGGAAGCTGAGAGTGGAGAGAGTGTAGACTGTGGCATCCACAGATTCTAAGGCCACTCTCAATTGCCGTGGACGAGGGGGGGTGGCTGCTTTCTCTCCTGGTGAAGCTTCCAGGATCCACCGGAGGCCTAGGGCTCGGGTCCAGCCCTGGGAGGCATCCCTGCCTGTCAGCCAGCAGTGCAGGGAGTGCCTCTGGGACCCGGTCTCAGGGGAGCACATGGGGGATGCAGTATTTGCCGTAAAGCCTGCTCTGCCAGTTAGGCTGGTTTCTCTGGGCCAGGAGGGCTGGTCCTTGTAGGGAAAGTCCAATTCCTGCAGGTGTGCAGAGAACGGCCCCCTGTCTGGGCCTCTGCGTCCCAACCCACACCGTCCCTGGAGCCAGAGCAGGCGGTCAGTGTCTGAGCAGCACAGGGGAGGCAGCCCTTTCATAGGAAGACCTGCCCCGGGGAGGGTTACCTCTGCAGGGCGGGGTGCATGCCCCGTTCTGCATGTGCTGGACTGACCTGGGGGCACAGGGACAAAGGGGGTTCACAGCAGAAAGTGATGGCCACTTTGAAAGGGGTCCTAATATGGACCACCATAGGCTTAGGAAGAGAAAGACAGTGCTTAACACAGTCTCATACACGCACGCACACACACACTCGTTTGTGTGCATGTACTCGCCCACACACATGAGCACACACATGCTTGTACACACACGTCCACATACACACAGTCCTGAGGGAGCAGTGCAGAAGGACGGGGGCCCCACTGGCCAACTGGGGTTTGCAGACAGCGACCAGCAGAAGCAGGGAGTCTGAAGGGAAGGAGGCGGGAGGCAGGTGCCCATCACAACAGCCACCTCCAGGGAGGACCTCACTGCAGAATGTGAAGGGATGGGTTGTGTTACCCCTTTTAATGGGAGACCGTCCCTGAGTGGACAAATGTGTAAATGCTTAGGAGGCAGACATAAGTCCATCGAAATGGCTACATGTTCACTGTTGCTGTTACCAGCAAGGCTTCCCTTTGGGGGAATCTCCCCAGTGTCCCCTGGCCCAGCCCGGCGTCTGAGTCGGTGTGGATGCTGTGTGTGTGAGTGTGTGTGCGTGTGTGTGTGTGAGTGTGTGTGTGTGTGAGTGTGTGTGTGAGTGTGTGAGTGTGTGTGTGTGAGTGTGTGTGTGAGTGTGTGTGTGAGTGTGTGAGTGTGTGTGTGAGTGTGTGTGTGAGTGTGTGTGTGTGAGTGTGTATGAGTGTGTGTGTGTGTGAGTGTGTGTGTGAGTGTGTGTGTGAGTGTGTGCGCGTGTGTGTGGCTTTCTACCTGGACTCCCCTGCCCTGTGTGTGCTCGCACATGGTACCAACTTGAAGAGCGAGCATCTGGCTTCTTCTTTCTGCAGGGTTGAGGTGGGGGGCCTGCTTATGGGGCGGTGCAGGTCCCGTGGCTGTGATGGCGGCCCGGATGACAGTGTGCGACTGTGGAGGCCTGCGCAGGTGGCAGCTGTGGGAGCACGGCCAGCGTCCAGAAGTCTGCCCCACCAGACCCTCCCGTACGTGGGCGCTGTCTGTGGATTTCCAGGGGTGCCATGTGATGGGAAATCAGGGCCTGGGTGCAGGTGGCTCGCCTCCTCTATGAAAATCACTGTCTTTCTGGCACAGCCGCATGGTAAAGGCCCCAACTTAGCCAAACGGTCCCCCACCCTGTCCCCTGTGTGCGAGGCTGCAGCCTCCTCCCCTCTGCCCTGTGTCCGGGAGGGGCCCTCCCCTGCAGCCAGGCCCGAGCAGGGAAGGTTTGCAGCCCTGGGTCGCCGGGTCCCAGCATGCTCAGCGGAATCCTCAATGGCTTACGGAAATACGTGATGTCGCCTGGAACCAGTACCACACACTAGCTCTTTATTTTTATGAACGAGGAAGAGCTGCTTATGAACAATATGCATTTTCCATTCATTGTTCCACAGTTTAATGACATGGAAAACTGAGTCATCTCGAGACCTCAAAGACTGCCAGGCATAGCATCTTGTGACTCACGGCTTTGGTCAAGTAACGCCTAGCTAAACAAATAGCTCCTGGAACCGTCCCCGGCCGAGCGGCATGTGGGCAGAGAGCGTCACCTGGTCATCCAACGCCCTGCAAGGGGGCAGGGACCAGCAGCCTTCCCCACCCCCACCTGCCAGAGAGACAGACGGTCGTCAGACAAGCACAGACGTGTGGAATCCGCTCGGGGTGTGCAGGGCGTCCAGGCGGATGTTACTGGATTGGGTGGCGGCTGTTCCAGAAAAGTGGTTTTTATTTTTTCCCCCTTTAGGCTAATTCTGCAAAACTCTAAAATCATAAGTGGCCCATGAAAGAGCTCTAAGCAGTGAAACACCAAGTTATGTGCCCTGGGCAGCCCAGGTGTCTCGACATGCTACCATTTCTTCTTCTTCTTTTTTTTATTTGAAGACATGATTGATTGTTATGTGTCCTGGGGGGTGTGCATGTGTGTAGATGTGTGCGTGAGAGAGAGAGAGAGAGAGAGAGAGAGAGAGAGAGAATACGGTGCGTAAACAACCAACATTTGAGATCAACGGGGCTGGTTCTTCAGCTCCTAGGACAGCTAACTGCCTCCCCCACTGACACCCGGGACAGAATTACCTCCGTACCCACGGCCTGTGTCCCCCGATCTGTGCGGGGCTGTGGTCAGAGAAGCCGGGGAAACATTGAGCTGGCGAGAATGCATGAGGTGGTGTCTATTAGGGAACTCCTCCAGTCCGAGTGGGCTACGGGCTCCCGGGGCCCTTCCCGGGGCAGGAGTGACCCTTGCTGACCAAACTGTTCCGTTGGGGCAAGTGCCGGCTGCACCACACAGACTCACGGGTGCGGGTTGGCCCTCGGGGGCCACGCAGGGGAAGGGGCTGAAGTAGGGCTGGGGCGCCGCCTCTGTCTGCCTCACATCACCTGGGAAAATGCAGAGACTCCGGAGGGCCCGCTGTCCCTGGCCGCCCACGGCCACAAGCAGTGTCCAGAAGAAGCACGACGCAGGAGCCGCCAGCACCATCCATCCCTACTAGGACAGCACCGCAACAGCAGGACCCATTCCTACTTTTGAAAAGGCATCTGCCTTCCCTGAACCGAGGGCGCGTTTACGGACCTGGGCATAACAGGTGCGAGCCCCAAGGACCCCCTGGCCCGAGCTCACTCAGCCACACAGCTGCCTCGCGTCCCGGCTGTGGCTCCTGCCCCTTCCCTGGTGTCGAAGGCTCAAGGTCAAGGTCCCTGGCTTCCTGAGCTCCCACCCCGCTGGCCCGCGGGTCCCCACGCGGTGAGGCCTCCCCCCACGTTTTCAGAGCTGGGCCCCCGGTCTTTGCGTCTGCACTCACGAGTGTCGACACAAGGTGGTGGGTGAGCCTCCCCCGCGTGCAGGGGACCCACCCCTGGCCGGTGCTGGGGACCAGCCGACCGTATTGCTCTGCGCCCCTACGGCTTCCAGAGCAATAGGTGCGTTCTGTGTTGACTCCATCTCTTGGTGTCCTGGTGTCAGGGTTGCCAAGGGAGCATGAGGTGAGCCCACTCCAAACTCTGCCTGTGTTGGCAAGAGGCCCATCAGTGGGACCCCAGGGGAGGCTGGGGGCCTAGAGAGGCACCGACCCTTGACCTGTGGTCCCAGGCCTCAGGCGGTGGCAGAGAAGTGAGAACAGCCAGCAGCGCGTCCCCCGTCCCCCCCAGCAGGATGCCTGCCCCACGCTGGCACTTAGGAGGTCCCTGGGGGTGAGGCCCAGTGCGTGTGGTGTGTGGGTTCGTGTGCTATGCGTGTCTGTGGCATGTGCATGTGCACCTGTGACATGTAGGAACATGTGTCGTGTGTGTATTTCTGTGCTGTGTATCTGTGGTATGTGAGTGAGCCTGGGTGACCCCCTTAAAACAGCTGGAGAGGGGGTTGTGATCTAGAACTCCTCCACTCCCCCACAGAGCCCCGTAAGCACACAGAACGGGAAAGCCCACAACCCCCAGCTGGGCTTTGGCACTTGCCAGGATCTGTGGGATCATCATGCCCCCCCTTCCCTGGGGGTATGAGGCAGGCTGTGAGGTCCTCCTCAGGCAGATCCCCACCCCACCCAGGAACAGGGGTGACGGCCAGCCAGGGCCCTCCTCGGCACGCCTTTGCACAACAGAAGCTCACGGACCTGCTCCCAGGGATCTGTGTGCATCCAGCTTTTTAGGACTCACCTGGGCACCTAACACTAAAAATAAACAAACAAAAAAAAAAACACACACCTTGCATTTAATGATGCTGTTTAACACTGTTTATTTGACGGTGCGACCTACAGCATTCTAGTAACACCCATGAAAATCATCACAAAGCTACTTTAAAAACTTTTATTTAAAAAAAATCATAGTTAAAAAAAATGTGGTTCTTCTGAAACGGTGGTGCGTGCTCTGTGGGAGGGAGGGGGGAGGGAGCCCCAAGGACGCAGCAGTCACCCCCGTGCACGGACACCCAGGCAGAGCCGCAGTCGCTGGGCTGGGGTCAGTGGGAAGTTGCCGTCCAACAGGAAAGCCAAGGCCCGTGACAGCCCCTGAAACAGTCCCTGTGACCCTGTCACCACAGCAGGGATCACCGCTGTGTTCCAGGAGCCTCCAGGCCCACGGTGGGGACATGGTGTCTGTGGCATGGGCACTGATTGGTTCTGGCCTGAGTGGCGCATCTGTTGGCTGAACGAGGAGTGGGCAGTGGGCCCGGGCCCCGGGGGGGCGTGGGGGGTAGAGACTGTCGGGTGGGCGGTGAGCGTGGGAGGTCCAGCCCTGGCCAGCGCCCCGTGAGGATCCGGACCTCGCAGACGTCGCCGGTTCACACCGCGGAGCCTCCCGTGGGCGGCCTCGGCCAGAGACACGGCCCGGCGGCAGCAGGAAGCCATTCAGAACACGGCCTCTTGCTCGGCTGTCACCAGTGCTTTGTCCCAACCCTTCCGGGGCATGACTCCAGCAAATCTACGTACAGCCTGGCCGCAGAGATCCGGTCACTCACCTTTTTAACTTCAGGGACTCCGAGTGTATGTTGCCACTGTTTTGAGTACGTGCTCAGCACGCCAGGGCTTCCTATTCAGCAAAACGATTAAACTGCCAGGGAGCATGACCCTGAAAAGTCTGGGTGGGTTCTAAACGCTTCTTCCCACCAGTTTGATGAGTGGCTCAGGTCCCCTTCTAGCTCAGCAAGGGTGCCAGCTTCTGCCTCTCCCCCCGCCTGGCCCCCGGGGTGCAAGGAGGGACCAGTCGTCTCCCCACAGCATGGACGTGCACATTAGGATGTCCAAGGACTGCCCAAGTTTGTGGGGTCAGGGACCTCAGAACGACGGCTGATTCTTTCAAACTGGCGTTCGTGGGCCAAGGGCACGTATGAGCTCACTTGCTACTCGAGGGCTCACGCCCCCTAGGAGACCAGCACAGGACTTCCAGGCATGTGGCTTTGCCCCAAAGTCCACTCGGGCATGCTCGTGGTGAGGCGCCGGGTCTGGCTTTATGATGGATAGAAACAAGCTTAGGAAACTCATCCGTGGTGGCCATGGCCACAGGGCTGTCCCCTTCACCCCCACACCATGAACACAGAGAGAGTCGGGAGGGTTGGCGGCACCGTCTCTCCAGGACACGGAGCCAGGGCCTCCCCAAGGAGAGGACAGCCCGCTGCACGGTGCCATCTGTCCTTGCTCAGGCCTGAGGGGACAGACGGCCCCTCTCCACCACCTCCATGCAAGCCCTGACCGGGGAGGGTGGGCTGGGGGGAGGCCCTCAGCGGGGAGGCACACCAGGCCAGCTCACGCCGACGGCCCCACCTTCCACGTGGACGGGCGTCTTGAGTCTCTGGACGCACAGAGCGTAGGCGCGACCCGCACCTGTACACCCAGTGAACTGGCCCCACGCTTAGAAATCCTGCTGGTCCAGCCTGAATTTTTTTTTCTTTTTCTTTTTTAAAACCTCAAAGCACTTTCATCGCCAGGAAAGCTGTCCTGTGGCAGGACTCCGTCTTCAGACCTGCTGGAGCCACGTTCTGGAGGCAGCCGAGCCCCCGTCTGCTTCCCTCCCATCCACTGCAGGTGGCGTGGGCGCCCGGGACACCTCCAGGCTGCGGGACGTCGGGAGGCAGACACACAGCCCGAAGGGAACCAACCTGCCAGGGCAACCGCACACACAGGGAACACAGAGCCGTCCACGGGCCCCCGGGGCCTGGGGTCTGTCTGTCTGCCCAGGCTGTCGGGGGAGGGCGAGTTCCAGGACAGGCTCTGGGGGCAACAGTCAAAGGGCATGCTGTGCGCAAGGCTGGCTCTCCTGTCGGCACAGAGAGGGGGCCGCTCTCAAAATCCGTTTGCTGGGCGGGCTGTGCTGTGACGGCTCCCCTCACCCCTGGCAGCCACGGAGGGTGTGGGGCCGTTAGTTCACCACGTCGTAGTAATAATTGCGCAGTCGCAGCTCCACGGCTTCGAACCCCGGCCTGCGATCCACCCTGCAAAGGGAAGAGGTGCATTAGCGCTGGTGTCTGCGCTGTTCTGGGATCCAGCCCTCCAGCCCCTAAGAGGGCAGCAGGTGCCAACGGCCATGCCCCTTGCAGGCACCTGCTGGCCCTACTCCCCACACCGGGCGACCAGAAGCCCCCGCAGAACAGAGTCAGGCCCACCCGACCTGCAGGGCCCAACCTGCACACAACGGGATCGCCACGCGATGCGCGTCGGTCTTCACCTTGGGAGATGTTTTGCTCTCAAAGCTAGGAGCTCTGACCCGCCCAGTTTGGAGACTCTCTCCTGCTGATCCAGCAAAATAGAAAGCACCTAAACATACCTACTGGGTCAGTGGGCCTCAGGCCCGTATTTCAAGTTGGACTCCGACTCTTGTTAAAAATGGATGGGCACAGTTTGAACTCCCCCCTCACCTTGACAGGATAGCTCCGGATCTTCTGAAAACGTGCTGTTGATACGGGACTGTATTAAACTCAAAACTTGGGATGCTGGGGGCTCAGTGGGTGAGCATCTGCCTTTGGCTCAGGTCATCATCCCAGGGTCCTGGGATCGAGTCCCACTTCGAGCTCCCCACAGGGAGCCTGCTTCTCCCTCTGCTGTGTCTCTGCCTCTCTTTGTCTCTCATGAATAAATAAATAAAATCTTTAAAAAAACCCCACAAATCTCAAAACTTGCCACGGCAGACGCAGAGGTGGGCCCCCTATTACAATGCTCAGCACAGCAGGGCGGTACTTTATGTCACTGTTGGGGGCAGGTCACGACCTAAGCAATGATGTGCAAACATTTCTAAAAATTCGTAACTTCTGAATGAACTTGTATGGACTTCTCCGCTTGCTCCCCCATGACGGGACCGGCTGGAAGCAAGTATGTCTTAAAATTGTGAGAACCTACTCAGGCATGGAAGCTATTTTGCTGACATTATGGGATTTGGGGCTTTCCTGCTAGTGGGTAGAGTTGCTCAGTAAGTGAAACAGAACTTGGGGTTCCACGAGGTGCCGCATGCACATTCAGAGTATGATTTCCAGAGGTGGAAGGCCCAGCACGGGTCTGGTAGGGCAGCCCAGGGGGCCAGGCTCACGGGGACCCAGAATCACTTACCACTGGGAGGAAGCTCTGTTTCTACAGAACCAAACTGGGTTTTGTCAAATGGCATCAAAATAAATGGTTTCACCTACAGCTTTCAGGAGCTCCTGAAATCCGGGATGAACTGCGGGACTTTGTCAGGGGTCTGTGGTCATGGCGGGGGACGCGGGCCACCCCAGGCTTCAGGGTGGGGGCTGTGACTCTGGCCACCAAGCTGTGGTCAAGGAGGGTGGGGTGGCGGCTATGCCCTGTGCAGGAGCCTGGGTGGGACCCATGTCGACCCAGACGGACAGCCTCCCTCCTTTACACAGAACACACCCCATCATCTTTGCAAAACCCAGTGTCCCTCTCCCACTCTGGGGACCAGATGTACACAGCTCCCGAGTCTCTGGCCACTCAGCAACCAGGCACTGAGCAAACAAACCAATATAGGGATACAGGCCAGCCCTCAGCAGAGACACCCTGTGAGGTGAGGCTTCCTGAGGGTGGGGAGGACCCTCCTCGACGCCCCTGGGATGATACTGAGCATCAGTCAGTGTGGCCAAGCGCCCTGTACATGTGCCTGCTTCCTGCCCGTCCCCACTTGTCTGTGTCACCTCCCCAGGCCTTGGGGGGCTTTCTTCGCTCGGGCCCTTGTGCCAGTGGCCCCTCTTTCCTCATTGCCTGCACCCCCGCCCCCAATCCTGGGGTCCTCAGGTGGAGCACCGTTCCCTAACGCAGGCCCACACGGACCTCTAAAGACAGCCCCCGTGATTCCTGACAGTGGCTCTATGGCCATCAAATATGTAATCATGGGATAAAGTGGGGCTGACATGGGGTAATGTGTGGTATGTTTGCCCCACACACCCAGTCCTCCAGCACAGCCAGCCTAGGGCTGTAACCTCCACCCAGAAAGTGTCAACGGGTGGGCTGGGTGGGTACGTGGAGGGTGGTCAACGGGACGTGTCAGTGATAAATCTCAAAGTGTGCACGTATATGTCTGTCTAAACATCTCCCAATCTGCCCATCCATCATCTGTCTATGCAGCTATCATATGTTAACCAACTCATCTATCTAGTTGAATGTTTAGAACAAAAAAAAGCCTCAAAAAGCATGAAGAATACATAGGGTTTGTTTGTATTCATGTTGGTGACCCCACCAGGTTCTGGAAGCTCACTGTGCTTCTGTGAGCCAGGCGGGTGCTGCATCTCTTTGTGTGAGAAAGTGCTTCCCCACAGGAGGTGTCCTGGGACACCCCCACCCCCACCCCATGTGAACCACACCCTTCAGGGCCCTGTCCTCAGCGCTGAAATGCCATCGGACCCATCACCTTCTTAGAGCACATGGATTCTTTAGCTCACTTATTGCCTGGGCGTCCCCCACCCCAACTACAGGCTCTAGCGGGGCAGTTCCGTGAGGCTTGCTGACCCCTACCCCAGGTGCAGGGATGGTGGCTTGCATGCATGAATGCTGGGCGCTCAGGGGAGGGGCTCTCAGGGATAGTGAATTCAAGACTGGGGCTCTTAGGGGAGGGAGCACTCGGGATGGGACATTCAGGGATGGGGTGCTCAGAGGACAGGGTGCTCAGAGGACAGCATGCTCAGGGATGGGGTGCTCAGGGATGAGGTACTCCAAGGATGAGGTGCTGAGAGGGAATGGACTTGGCACTGAGCAGAGCATGGACGCAGGGGCAGGCCTCATGATGGTCCAGGCAATGTCACCCCATTGCTCATGCTTACTGATCTTGAAGCAGCATGTTGGGCCCCATCTAGATCATTCCTGACATCAGAGACACTCAGTGTCCATGCTTTTCTCCATTGGGCAGAAGTCCATTTTTCAGGGTAAAGAGACCCAACTTCTCCTGATTCACAAGGGCTTTCCCCCTTGGCACCCCTAATTACAGGGCAGGCGCTGACTCTGTAGAACATGACTGAAGCCCCCAGCCCTGCCGCTCCCTGTTTTCGTGGGGGCCCCTCTTCCCTGCCTGGCTCTGTCCGTGCACCTTGCCCTCCGTGTGACCTCTGCAGGTGCTGCCTCGAGTGCCTTATTCTCCTCTGGAAGGGAGACGCCCGGAGGTGGGTTCTGTCCCCTACCCCGTCGCTCCAGGACACACCATGGAACCAAGGGGCAGGCAGGCTGGCTGGAACAGAGCTGCAGGCTGCCCGGGACGGGACGGGCATCTCCCCGAGATCCCCAGGGAGGGCCCTGCTGCCAGGCCATCTCCTGGGGTCTGAGGCTCCCTGGTGGCCATGCCCAAGGAAGCAGAGCTTTGTCATCCAGGAGCACATCTAACTACGTACACTTAGACCCAGGCTCTGAGCAACCCATCCCCCTGCCATGTCAGGTCACGACCAGAAGAACCTGAACCTTCACAAGTACAGAGGTGCTGGAAACCAATCAAACCCTGCCAAAGAGCCGTGGTGTCTGGTCCTGGGCATGGGCTGTCCTCATGCCCTCCACCCGCCCACACTCGAATCCTGCGGCTGGTTCAGTGAGCAGGCCTGGGTGGAAGCCACGGGAAAGGCACCCCGGCCTGCAGCCTCCGTGATGTGACTGAGACCTCTCGGTGGGCAGCTACCCCGGGAAAGAAACTCTGAGGGCTCAGAGGCCTGCTGAGGACCCAGGAGACCTGTGTCGCTGGTGTGTCTACTCTCTGTGGACCATGCTGGGGTGACAGCGCAAGGGGCCACATGTGTCCAGCAGGGATGGGTGGGCAGAGTGGGGCCTGGTCCCGATGCCCCGAGTCAGAGCAGAGCGCGCCGAGCACTGAGGGTCTGGGGCAGGTCAGGGCCCCCCACCCCGGAGCTGAGCAGAGGTGCCCCCACTCCTGGCCGCCCCACCCCGTGGGGCCCATCCCCTCCTCACTGGCAGACACAAAGAATGCCAGACAAACCGTGTCGGTATTAGCATTAAATGCCGAAGTGCTGATTTTAACCGTCTCCCTGACAGTCCACTTTAATTTCGGGTTTTAAAAATGTGTTTCAGGATGATTTCAAGCGTCTTCTTCCCCAGGAAGTGAAACTTTCCATGGGAAGGCCCCAGGCAGGCAGGAGAACACATCCGTGAATGCTCACTTCTAGCAAGCGCCCTCCCTGGCTTACACCTGCCCCGCGGCCTCGTGCAGCTGTCGGGGGTCACTTGACCCCATGTCCTTGGGAAGGAGGGGTCGCTGAGGCCAGAGGCCAGCCCGCGCCCACAGAGGGAAGGCCCGTGAGCGTGTTCCCGACCTGGGACTCGGCCCCCAGGGAATCCTCACAGCCCCGGGAGCATGTGGGGGGGGGGGTCTTTCCAAAGCCAAGCAGGGCACAGGGTGCCTGTTGGAGGCCTGGGTGAGCCTGCGCTGTCCCCGGTGGCTCTGACGGGGTCCCCTTTCTCTGGACAGTGTCTGCAGCAGATGGAGCGACATGTGCCCTCTCCCTCTGGGGCTGACCTGGGGTCATCTCTAGATCATGATGGCATTCGTGACCTCCACTCCCAGCTGCGGAGAAGGGTGCTCCCTGGGGAGTCACAGAATCAATCCCAGGCCACATCCAAAAGCACTTGGAACATTCTGGAACCTTCAGATGCTCCTGCTGCACCAGTGTGTGTATCTGACACCACAGCTGACCCCGCGGCACTGAAGCCAGGACACAGCATGCACACAGGCTCCTCTAGATCACACTCCCGCCACATTTCAGAGTTATGGGGGTGCTCACCGCACACACCGGGGTCAGACACACAAGACCGGGGCCCAGGATTCCCCATGGCCTACTCGCAGGCTGCCTGTTAGGCAAGGTCAAGGCCACTTCCCTGATTGGCAGCCGGGACGATTCCCTGACTCTCGTGTGTGACGTGTTTCTCTGGCCCGCTGAGGTGCCCTGCACTACACCTGCCCACCCCAGGCCATGGGCGCCACCCCCCCCACTCCCCTGGAAGGATGTGTGACGGCACCCGGCAGACTGTGAGGGCCACTTCCAAGGGCTGAGTCACCGCTGGGGCAGCGCTCCCTGGGCCGATCCCCCATGACTTGGAAGACACCCAGGGTCTCACCTCGATAGCTGGGCAGGAATCGGGCAAGTATGACATCCCCTTGCTGAGGACCCCTGCCATTCACGACCACCACAAGTGGGTCACGGACCGGCCCAGACTCCCATGGACACCTTTTGCGCTGACCACCCTCACCCCCTGGTGATACCATCCACGTTTAAGTGTTGATACACTGGATTAGAGTTAATTGTCTAAACATATTTTTTGGACCAAAGAATATGAGTGCATGGTCCAGGGAGCAAGCCACCTCCACCCCTCTTTGTTTAGAAGAGAGCACATCCCTGGTTCATGAAAAAGCAGAGGCGGAGCTTCTTTTCTGGGCCATCCCATCTGCCCCAGGGCCTTAGCGTGAACTGCAGGCCATGCTGGGTACTCACTCATATGTCCAGCACAGCTTCATCAGCTCGTACATCTCCCTTGGACACCCTGCGGGGCACCCCATCCTCTCTCCTTTCTCCAGCATAGCTGAAACTTCACTTCCTTTCATGCCCTAAAATGCAGAACACACCAGCTTGTTAAAGGCAGCATTCAGCAACACAACATAACAACCACAACACAACACAACAGAGCAAAAGAACAGAGGGCATGATTTCACGAATAAAAAAATACAAAACCGGGAGCACCTAACCCATGACCTAGAGGTCAGATGGGGTTACCCTTGGGGGACAGGCTATAGGTGCCTGGGGTGCTGTTGTGTTTCATCACCTGGGGGCAAGTTTCATGGGCACACCTCGTTTGTGAAAATTCATCAAGCTGTATTCTAGCACATGTGCACTTTTTGGCATGCATGTTTTGATTTTTAAAAATCTAAACTATTTAACCAAACTATAAATTTAATCCTGGAAATAGCCAGGATGAAATATCTCTATTTCTACCCTAATGAATGTTGACTTGGATCTATTTTATGCATATTTACAGGTGTAATGGACAATGAAAAAAATACACTGTGCAATTAATATCAGATATATACATTTTTCCACTCTATATTAAACTGAGGTCATATTAACCGCTCAGGGTCACCAGACAGAGAAAGGCTCCGACAGGGAGCCCAGATTTGACAATTTTATGATTTTTCAGCACCTCGTAACAACAATCGGGTGCTTCTCTGTCCCGATGGCCACACGGCTGGAAGTGAAAGAGCAGGGGCTCACCCGATAGGGCTTCTGCCCATAGGAGAACGCCTCCCACATCAACACCCCGAAGCTCCAGACGTCACTCTTGCTGGAGAACTTGTAGTAGTTGATGCACTCCGGGGCGTACCACTTCACGGGCCACTTCCCGTGGGTCTGGGCCTGAAAGCAAAGCAGACAGAGGCTCTCCATGACACCAGAATTGCAGACGCCCATGCTCAAAGCAGCAACGGTGCACACCACCGAGCGTCCATCACCCAAGGAACCGATGAACAAAGTGTCAATATCCATGCAATAGGGTATCATTGGGCCTTAAACAGGAAGGGGATGCTGTGCCTGACCCTGGAGGTCGCTCTGGGAGGACAGACACCAAGGCAGGTCTCTAAACGACACACACATTGTACCCTGGATGCAGCTTGAGGACATCACGCTCAGTGAAACAAGCCGGTCAAGTCCCTACAGCACAAATAGTGCATGCAAGCAGGCACCTGAGGCCCCGACATGGGTCTGATTCACAGAGATGACTGCCAAGGACCGGGGTGAGGGGCTCACAGGGGGAACGGGGAGTAGCTGTCTAATGAGGACACAGTGTCAGAGAATTCTGGAGACGGGTCGTACACACAGGGAAGAACACTTAATCCAACTTAACTTACCACGAAGTTAACATTAGCCAACTACACCCTTAAAAATAGTTAAGACGGTGTAATTGAGGTTAGCAAATGAAATTAATATATATTAACCACAATTAGAAAAAACAGGAATAAAATGACTCACAGAATGCCCTGTGCACGTGTGCATGTATTTGTTCTGAAGCTTAAAAATATGTATTTAAATCTTAAAAAATTAAATTTTAAGTTTCAATTGTATTTTTAAAGATTCAGACTGTATTTCTTGTACTTTTTTGTCTTTTTCTCTTACCTCTTCTTTTGGCTACTCATAGCTTCATGCAGCCTGTTGTAACTACTGAAGAGTCAAGCCCGAATATTACCTTCATGGTTGTGCTCCAAGAAACACTAGACTATTCCTAAGTATATTTAACTATTACTATGTATTTGTCTATGATTTTAAGCCAATGTTAATTATTTTGTCACAGGCTATTAGTATCGCTGGAAAAAATGTTTTAAACTTTTCTTTTTTAAAAAAAAAGATTTTTAGAGATTTTATTTTTAAGTCATCTGTACACCCAATGTGGGGCTCAAACTCACAACCCTGAGATCAAGAGTGACACGCTCCACCAACTGAGATAGCCAAGCGCTCCAAGAATGTTTTAAACTTTCTAATTTAAAAAAGTAAGTGGTAGTAAAGAGATTGAGGCTATGCCCAGCAAAAACCCTTTCCTCTGGGGTTTGGAGTTTGGTACACGAAAGTCCTGCTCCGTCTTGTGGACGACATTCTAACCAGCACCCTTTGGGCGGAGGAGAGATGGCCTGCCCTATGGTAAGTCAGTGGGGTGCAACCCTGGGACGTTGCTCTGGGAGGACAGGCACCAAGGCAAGTCTCTAAATGACACACTGATTACACTTCTGTCTCAATCATGTAGTGCATCATTTTTAGATTCTGATTTTTTAAAAGTTATGAACAATATAGTCATGTGTGCTATTTCCATTTTAATTTGAATTTTGAGGTGATACACATCTTCAGCCATTGGGATGGCCACGTTTGATTATCTTTTCTGAATCCCTCCAGAAAAATCTATAACCAGTACAGGGGGGTAATATATACCTTTTGGGACGTAGAAAAGCTAGGGATATACGTTGTCCACTTTTAGAAGCATTGATTGCATGCTTCCTATAAATCTACTACGACTTAACCAGCCTCCTACTGAGAGCACATTACGTAGTTTCCTGATTTTTGCTGGGACGAGTGTGACCAACAGTGTGTGTCTGTGCCGCATGCAGGGCAAAGACCTGTGGGATCAGAGGGCCTTTGTGTTTACGGTCGTGGTGTGGTGCAAGGTCATGGGGCCACATACAGATCTGCTTCGATCAGTATCAGTATCCTTTCTCTTTAACACACTTTACTCTGGATTCTGTGCCACTTCATGTTGTTTTCTTCAAGAAATCCCCCGAGTCCCCATCTTTTCAGTGATGTGCATTCTCTCTGCTCCTAACATGTACGGTATGATGACTGAGACACCTACATATAGCAAAATGTTAGGATTACACACAATAAGGTTAGGTAGCACATCCTTCATCTGACAAAATGACCGTTGTTTGTCGTCATTCTGGTGAGAACATTTAAGATGTATTCTCTTAGCAGCTTCCATGTATATAACACAGTCCTTAGACTGGGGTCACCATAGGATACAGAGACCCCCAGAATTTATTCCTCTGATAACTAGATGTTTATGTTCTGAGACCAACATCTTCTCATGTCTGTACCCCTTGGTCCCCAACAACACAAATCTACTGTCTATATGAATTTGGCTTTTTAGTTTGCACATATAAGTGAGGTCATGCAGTAGTGATCCTTCTGTCTGACTTTTCACGGAGCCTAATGCCCTTGAGGTCCATCCATCTTGTCGCAAATGGCAGCATCTCCTTCCTTTTTTATGATTGGTATCCCATATATTTGCCTACATTTAAAAAAATTATTTATTTAAATTCTATTCAGTTAACATATAATGTATTATTAGTTTCAGAGGTAGATTTAGTGATTCATCAGTTGCGTATAACACCCCGTGCTCATCACATCACATGTACTCCTTAATGCCCATCACCCATTACCCCATGCCCCCCAAACATCTCCCTTCCAGCAACCCTCAGTTTGTTTCCTAGAGCTCAGTCTCTTATGGTTTGTCTCCCTTTGTTTTCATCTGACTTTATTTTTCCCCCTCCCTCCCCCTATGATCCTCTGTTTTGTTTCTTAAATTCCACAAATGAGTGAGATCATATGGTGTTTGTCTTTCTCTGACTTATTTCACTTAACATAATGCCCTCTAGTTCCATCCATGTTGTTGTAAAAGAAAAGATTTCATCCTTTTTGATGGCTGTATATATGTACACACACATATTCCTTATCCATTCATCTCTCGATGAAACATCTGGGCTCTTTCCATATGTGCACTATTGTGGACATTGCAGCTATAAACATTGGGGTGCAGGTGCCCCTTCAGATCACTGTGTATGTATCCTTTGGGTAAATACCTACAAGTGCCATTGCTGGGTCACAGGGTAGCTGTATTTTCAACCTCTTGAGGACCCTCCATACTGTTTTCCAGAGAGGCTGCACCAGCTTGCATTCCCCCCAACATGTAAGAGGTTCCCCTTTCTCTACATCCTCACCAACACTTGTTGTTTCCTGAGTTGTTCATTTTAGCCATTCTGACCAGTGTGACGTGGTATCTCATTGTGGTTTTTGATTTGTATTTCCCTGGTGTCGGTGATATTGAGCATTTTTCCATGCCTACATTTTAAGCCAATATACATACACATACACTCCCCCCCCACACACACACATCACATCTTCTTTATCCATTCATCTGTTGCTTGGTATTTAGGTTGTTTCTATATCTTGGCTATTGTGTATAATGTTGCAATAAACATGAGAATGCAGATAGCTCTACCAGATAGCGATTTCATTTCCTTCAGATAAATATGCAGAAGTGACTGCTGGATCATATGGTAGTTCTATTCTTAATTTTTTGAGGAACCTCCATACTGTTTTCCACAGTGGCTGCACCAGTTTACATTCTCACCAACAGTTCATGAGGGTTCTCTTTCCTCCACATCCTCATCAACACTTGTTATTTCTTGTCTTTTTGATACTAGCCATTCTGACAGGTGTGGTTCTGATTTGCATTTCCTGATGATTGGTGATCCTTTATATTGGCCTTTGGATATCCTGTTTGGTTACAGAAATATAGAAAGAGAATAGAAAATGTCTAGTCAAGTCCTTTATGATTTTTAAAATATGATGTTTTCTTTTTTTGCTATTGTTTTACAAAATATATTTTGGATATTTATCCCTTATTTGCTGGTTTGCAATTGTTTTTCTCATTTTATAGGTTGCCTTTCCGCTCCTGTTTCTTTTGCTGTACAAAAGCTCTTTAGTGTGACATAATCCCACTTACTGATTTTTGTTTTGGCTGCTTTTGGTGTCAAATTAAAAAAAAAATCATTGCCAAGACCAATGTCGAGGAGCCTTTTTTGTATGTTTTCTTCTCAGAGTTTCACGGCTTCAGGTCTTATGTTTAAGTCCTTAATCCATTTTGAGTTGATTTTTATGAGTGGAACAATATAGAGGTCCAATTTCATTCTTTTGCATGTGGACATCCGGTTTTACCAGCACCATTTATTACTGAAGTGAGTGTCTTTTCTTTGCTGAATATTCTTGGCTCTCCTATCAAATATTAGTTGGCCATGTATACATAGGGTTATTTCTGGGCTCTTGGTTCTGTTCCATCAGCCCACATTTCTTTCTTTTTTTTTCTTATTTTTTATTTTTATTTTTTTTCCATTTCTTTCTTTACATTGGTACCATATTGCTTCGATCCCTATAGCTTTGTGGTGTAGTTTGAAGTTAAAAGGCATGATGCCTCCAGCTTTGTTCTTTCTCAAGAATGCTTTGGTTACTTGGGGTCTTTTATGGTTCCATATGCATTTCAGAATTTTTTTTCTATTTCTGAGAAAAATGCCATTGGAATTCTGATAGGGATTTGCATTGAATGTACAGGTGGCTTTGAGTAGTATGGACACTTTAAAAATATTAACTCTTTTGCTCTATGAACACAGGATATCTTTCCATTTTATTTGTGTTCTTCAGTTTCTTTCACCAATGTCTTACGGTTTTTGGTGCGTAGATCTTTCACTTCCTCATTTAAATTTATTCCTAAGTATTTTGTTGCTCTGGTGCAATCATAAATGAGTTTTTCTTTATTTCTTTTCAGACAGTTCATTGTGGATACAAAGAAATGTGGCAAATTTTTGCAAGTTGGTTTTGTATCTTGCTACTATACTGAATTTCTTAATGAGTTGTAATATTTTTTGGGTAGTGTCTTTAGTGTTTTCTATATGTAAGATTATATCAACTGCAAATAGAGACAATGTTATTTTATTTAAGGCATGGATGCTTTTATTTATTTTTCTTGCCTAAATGCTCTGGCTAGAACTTCCAGTGAATACCATGTTGAATAGGAGTAGTATGAGTGGACATCCTTGTCT